AACGCCCTCCACTTCGTCCAGGCCCTCCAGGAAATGCGCTGCTCCTCCTGACAAACCCTAATTTAGGGTTTGCGCGCCCCCCAACAAACCCTTCGAGGAAGCAGCAGGGTTCGGGGCCGGGCGGGACGCAAAACCCTTTTTCAGGGTTTGGGGACGGGCCGGGTTAGCAAACCCCTTCTTGGCGTTTCCGGGGTTTAGGGTTTAGGGTCTGGGGTCGGGGTGCTAAGCGCTTCTTTAGGGTTTCGGGGGCTTGGGGTCAGGATACGAAACCCTTTTTTAGGGTTTGGGGCGGAGGGCACGGAGGAAGGGCGTGCTGCAGCCCAGCCCAAGGCGGCCCTTGTCATTAGGGTTTAGGGTTTTAGAACACGGCAACCTACGTTTGCGAGGGTTTAGGGTTTTGGTGAGGGTTTAGGGTTTCGGCGAGGGTTTGAAGTTTTGAAGTTTTTAGGGGAGTTTTGGACGTGGGCCAGGGGCCACTAGGGTTTAGGGTTTAGGGTTTAGGGTTTAGTCAAGCTCGAGCTCTTTAAATAATATCCTACGAGGGTTTAGGATATTATTTAAAGAGCTCGAGCTTGAGCGAGGGTTTAGGGTTTGAGGGCGGGTGTAGACTTATCATGAGGGGTAAGAGTCCCGCCGAGGGTTTAGGGTTTTGCTGAGGGTTTAGGGTTTCAGTACCTACTCTCCTAAATGTTCTATACATGGGGATATCCGGCCCTGCTGCTGCTGCCGCTGTTGCTGCTGCTGCTGCTGCTGCTGTTGCTGCTGCTGCTCTAATAGTTTGGGGGGCCCCCAGGGCCTCTGGGGGGCCCTAGGGTCTCAGGGGGCCCCAGGGGGCCCCCCTGGGGGCCTGGGGGCCCCCTGGCAGCTTTCCGGCAGCTGCGCAGGGGCCCCCCTAAACCCTTGTGGGGCCCCTCTCTTTAGTCTAAACCCTAAACCCTAAACCCTAAATCTAAGCCTTTGGGGGACCTTGGAAGGGTCGAGACAGGCACATTGCTGCGCTGCCTCCTCTAACCCCCCGCAAACCCTAAACCCTAAACCCTAATCGTTGCGTTCCAAAGCTTTACATGTCATAAACGCAGGGTTTGCCTTCAAGGCGAGCAGGGATTCTTTGAACTGAAACCCTAAACCCTAAACCCTAGCGGCGAAGTCGTGAGCAGCAGCAGCCGCATGCAGCCCCGAGACTGTTTGGCTTCGCCCCAGCTTTTGCCAAAGAGAGGGATAAATAAATAAAAATAAAATAAAATAAATAAAAATAAATAAAAATAAATAAATGAAAATCATTTATTGAATTTTAAGGAGCAGCGAAGACACTCCGACAGGCGCAGGAGTCTCAGGTGTACAGACACCGCAGCCGACTCGCGCGGGGCCGACGCTTTAGGAGTTCCTCGAGGGTTTAGGGTTTAGGGTTTAGGGTTTGGGTGTGCCCGTGGAAGGGGAAGTTGCTGTGGCTGCTGATGCAGCAGCAGCAGCAGCAGCAGCAGCTGCAGCAGCAGCAGCAGCAGCAGCCAGCGCTAGCTAGAGCTTGAGGTGTACGTACACCACAGCAGCGCCTTGGGGCATGCACGTCCTCAGGTGCAAACCCTAACTCCAAAACCCTCAAACTCAAACCCTAAACCCTAAACCCTAGCTCCAAACTCTAAACCCTAACCAAACTCCTGGGTTTTTCTCTGTCTTCACTTTCGCAATGGCTTTCCTTCTGGAGCAAATCTTCAACGCCCCTGCCGCAGCTCTGCAGGTCAGGCAGTGGTCAGCTTAGGGTTTAGGGTTTAGGGTTTAGGGTTTAGGGTTTAGGGTTTAGGGTTTAGGGTTTGGGGTTTAGGGTTTAGGGTTTAGGGTTTAGGGTTTAGGGTTTAGGGTTTAGGGTTTAGGGTTTAGGGTTTTGTTTTAGGGTTTAGGGTTTAGGGTTTAGGGTTTAGGGTTTAGGGTTTAGGGTTTAGGGTTTAGGGTTTAGGGGTTTAGGGTTTAGGGTTTAGGGTTTAGGGTTTAGGGTTTAGGGTTTAGGGTTTAGGGTTTAGGGTTTGTATTTAGGGTTTAGGGTTTAGGGTTTAGGGTTTAGGGTTTAGGGTTTAGGGTTTAGGGTTTAGGGTTTTAGGGTTTAGGGTTTAGGGTTTAGGGTTTAGGGTTTAGGGTTTAGGGTTTAGGGTTTAGGGTTTAGGGCAGTGGTCAGCTTAGGGTTTAGGGTTTAGGGTTTAGGGTTTAGGGTTTAGGGTTTAGGGTTTAGGGTTTGCGGTTTAGGGTTTAGGGTTTAGGGTTTAGGGTTTAGGGTTTAGGGTTTAGGGTTTAGGGTTTAGGGTTTTGTGTTTAGGGTTTAGGGTTTAGGGTTTAGGGTTTAGGGTTTAGGGTTTAGGGTTTAGGGTTTAGGGTTTGGTCTGCGGAGGCCACGGCAGAGTCGCAAAGGGCCTAGGGTTTGGGGATAAGCTTCAGTCTTCAGCTAGGGTTTGGGGTTTAGAGTTCACTGCCTAGGGTTGACAGCTGTGCATCTAGCTAGGGCCAAGGGTTTAGGGCCAAGGGTCAGGAGCTTAGGGTTTAGGGTTTAGGGTTTAGGGTTTAGGGTTTAGGGTTTGGTGTGGGCAGGCCAGGGCGGAGTCACTCCTAGGGGCCCCTGTCCCCTTGCTGTCCTGTCTCCTTCTCCTTGTGGCCTTCTACGCGGCGCTGGGCGTGGTGGCCTTGCGCGGTAACCCTAAACCCTAAACCCTAAACCCTAAACCCTAAACCCTGATCGATTAGGGAGGTGTTGTTTGCTGCTTCTCGTGGCTGCTGCGTTTCATCTGGGGCGCCTTTTCCCGTGCTTCGTGGGCCTGGCGATGAGGGTTTAGGGTTTAGGGTTTAGGGTTTAGGGTTTAGGGTTTAGGGTTTAGGGTGTGGGGTGAAGGGCCTGCGGCGCAGAGCCTAGGGTTTAGGGTTTAGGGTTTAGGGTTTAGAGTTTAGGGCTTTCTGTTGAACGCCTGAGCGTGGGGAAAAGGCAAAAGCAGTGCCAGGGCCAGCACACTATTCCTAATTGATTATTAATTAATTAAATTAAATAAATTAAATTGGTTAATTAATTAAATTAATTAAATTAATTAAATTAAATTAATTAAATTAAATTAATTAAATTAAATTAATTAATTTACTTGTGCGCCGCAGCGCTGCAGTGGGGGCTGTTTTCGCCGCGGGGTGTATCGACAGCTGGCTGTCTCCAAGTGTCTCTTTTGGGCCCTTCGGGGTCTGGCAAAACTCGCTGTCTCCTTTTTTTGAGAAACAAGGGGACAACGCAAACCCTTCCCTCCATGGCGGTGGGCCCTCTAGGGTTTAGGGTTTAGGGTTTAGGGTTTAGGGTTTGGTTGCGAAAGTTTGGTGGTCGGAGGTGCCGGAGAGGCTGAGAGACGCGGTTTTAGGGTTTAGGGTTTAGGGTTTAGGGTTTGGTGGCGAAAGTTTGGGGGTCGGAGGTGCCGGAGAGGCTGAGGGACGCGGTTTTAGGGTTATCCCTTTAGGGTTTAGGGTTTAGGGTTTGGTGGCGAAAGTTTGGGGGTCGGAGGTGCCGGAGAGGCTGAGGGACGCGGTTTTAGGGTTTAGGGTTTAGGGTTTAGGGTTTGGCGCCGAGGCCTTGAGACGCAGGCTTTCCAGGGCTTGGCTTCGCCGTTTGACAGGGGTTTGTGGTTTAGGGTTTAGCGAGGGTTTGGGACTTGGCGAGGGTTTAGGGTTTAGGGTTTGTGGCTGGCGTTTGGGCTGCTGCTGCAGGAAAACCGATGCGACATCTCGCTGAAGACCATCGCAGCAGCAGCAGCAGGGGAAGAAGGAGACACTTTGTCTCCGAAAAGAGACAAAACAATTAAACTTGTGGACTTGCCGGGACATCCCAGGCTGCGGCCTGCTGCTGTTGCTGCTGCTGCTGCTTCTTCTCTCCTCATCTTCTTCGTCGACGCTGCAGACAAACCCTCCCTCAAAGCAGCAGCAGAGTGAGACTAGGGTTTAGGGTTTAGGGTTTAGGGTTTAGGGTTTAGGGTTTAGGGTTTGGGGTTTGGGGCGCTCGCGCTTCGCTGAGGAGGACCGGAAGCGGTCCCTTGCGGCAGCGCCCCGAAGGCTTCGGGGCTCCGGGGTTTAGGCTTTACGGTTTAGGGTTTAGGGTTTAGGGTTTAGGGTTTAGAGTTTAGGGTTTAGGGTTTAGGGTTTGCGCAGGTTTTTGTTTGAACTTTTCTGCGACTCGAAAATATGCGAGCGAAGACCCCCTTTGCTGCTGGTGGTAAACAAAAGAGACAGTCCCGAGGCGAGGGGACAGCAGGCGGTTGTGGAGGACCTCGAGAGAGAAGTGTAGGGTTTAGGGTTTAGGGTTTAGGGTTTAGGGTTTAGGGTTTACGGTTGGGGCTTTGCTTTGGCCGGGGGTGTTGCTGGGTTGCTCTCCGCGGCCCCTTCTGCAGCTAGCTAGCGGCTGCCAGCTAGCTGGCTGCCTGCCTAGCTAGCTAGCTGAGTAGCTAGCTAGCTAGCTAGCTGGCTTTGCAGCTAGCTAGCTAGCTAGCTGGCTGGCTAGCTAAGCTGTGCAGCTAGCTAGCGGCGCAGTGTTTGAGGAGCGCCTCAACTGCTGCTAGCTAGGCCCTCAGCTAGCTACCTAGCCAGCTACCTAGCTAGCTAGCCAGCGAGCTTTCTAGCTAGCCACCCAGCTAGCTAGCTAGCTGGCTAGCTAGCTTTTTAGTTACGTGGCTAGCTAGCTGGCCAGCCAGCTAGCCAGCTAGCTAGCTAGCCAGCCAGCTAGCCAGCTAGCTAGCCAGCTAGCTAGCCAGCTAGCTAGCCAGCTAGCTAGCCAGCTAGCTAGCCAGCTAGCCAGCTAGCTAGCTAGCTAGATAGCTAGCTAGCCAGCTAGCTAGCCAGCTAGCCAGCTAGCTAGCTAGCTAGATAGCTAGCTAGCTAGCCAGCTATCTAGCTAGCTAGCTAGCCAGCTAGCTAGCTAGCTAGCTGCGGGGTTTGGTGCTTTGGGCGTGCGTGCAGGGAGCGCTGCCGGGTGTCTCGACAGGCGGCAGCAGACGCTGAGGAGACACCTGTCTCCTTTTTCGGAGTGGAAGGGAGACGCTTTTTGCTCGAAGACGCGCCGTGCTCCGTGGTAGGGTTTAGGGTTTAGGGTTTAGGGTTTAGGGTTTAGGGTTTAGGGTTTGGGGTTTCGGGGCTAGGGTTCAGGGTCTAGGGTTTGGGGCTTAAGATTTATAGTTTAGGGTTTAGGGTTTGGGGTTTAGGGTTTAGGGGCTAGGGTTCAGGGTTTAAGGTTTGGGATTTAACGTTTAAGGTTTAGAGTTAGGGGTTTAGGGTTTAGGGTTTAGGGTTTGGGATTTGCTGCTCTCGTGGGCGCTGCTGCGCCATTCTGGTCTCATGAGTCTCCTTTTATCCCTTTTTCTTTCCTTTTATTATTTTTAACATCTTTTAATTTATTTTAATTCATTTTAATTATTATTTATTTCTTTTTTTTATTTTTTATTACTTCAAAAGTGTCTCCTTTTCTGTCTCCCCACAGACTGTTTGTTCAGCAGCAGTGGAGACAGGAGACCTTTCTCTAATTCCTTCTTTCATTCTCCAACATGCCCATTAAACTCAACCCGCACAACAAAGCCCCAAGGGGGCCCCCTGGGGGCCCCCAGGGGGCCCCCTTGGGGCTTTGGGCCCCTGGGGGGCCCCCAGGGGGCCCCCCAGGGGCCCCCTGGGGGCCCCCAAAGACCCCTGGGGGCCTTCAGGGGGCCTCGAGAGACCCTCAGGGGGCCCCCTGGGGCCCCGAAGAGACCCTCAGGGGGCCCCTTGGGGGCCCCAAAAGACCCGCAGGGGGCCCCTAGGGGTCCCTGAAAGACCTCCAGGGGGCCCCCTGAAGGACCCAGGGGGCCTCAAGAGGTATATGGGGGGCCTCAGGCTCCTGGGGGGCCCCCTAGGGGCCCCCAAGGGGCCCCTCGGGGCCTAAAAAAGACTCTTTAGGGGCCCTTTGGGGCAGTGAATACCTAGGGGCTTTCTAGAGCTTTTGACAAGAGGCCAAAAGTCCTTTAGGGGCCCTTTTAGCGAAAAGTTCTCAAAGAATTCTAAAAGGCTTTCTAAAGGGCGTAGGGGCCCCTGGGGGCCCCCGGGGGCCCCCGGGGGGCCCCAGGTAGCCCCCAGGGGGCCCCCGTAGAGGCCCTCAAGCAGCATTTTGGCTCCAAGCTGTGGGCTTTCTAGAGCTTTTGACAAGAGGCCAAAAGTCCTTTAGGGGCCCTTTTAGCGAAAAGTTCTCAAAGAATTCTAAAAGGCTTTCTAAAGGGCGTAGGGGCCCCTGGGGGCCCCCGGGGGCCCCCGGGGGGCCCCAGGTAGCCCCCAGGGGGCCCCCGTAGAGGCCCTCAAGCAGCATTTTGGCTCCAAGCTGTCTGGGGGCCCCCAAAAGGGTACTTGGGGGCCCCCAAAGGGCACTTTGGGGCCGCCAAAGGGTACTTGAGGGCCCCCAAAGGGTACATGGGGGCCCCCAAAGGGTACTTGGGGGCCCCCAAGGGGTACATGGGGGCCCCGAAGTACCTTTAGGGGCCCTAAAAGCTGCATTTTGGGGGCCCCTTAGGGCGGCCTGGGGGCCCCTTGCCCAATGAGTGACTGCACATTCAGATCTCCAACTTCTGCAGTTGCTGCTGGCTAGGGTTTAGGGTTTAGGGTTTAGGGTTTAGGGTTTGAGGACACATTAGAATGCTAATGCGTGGGGGAGGCCCCCTTCACCGCTGCTGCGCTTGCCGCTGCTGCTGCTCCTGCTGCTGCTGTTGCTGTTGCTGCTGCTGTTGCTGCTGCTGTTGCTGCTGCTGGTGCAAGGGTTTAGGGTTTGTCTAGGGTTTGAGGTGGAGGTTATCGCTAGGGTTTAGGGTTTGGACTCAGGGGCAAGACAAAGAGGAGACAAAGAAAGGGTTGGGGTTTTAGGAAGCAGAGCTGCTGCTGTCTCTTTTTGCTGCTGCTGTCTCTTTTTGCTGCTGCTGTCTCTGTTAGCTGCTGCTGAGGCTGTGTCTCTTCCTGCTGCACTTGGTGTCTCTCTTGTGTCCCTGTTTGTGGGGCGGAGAGACGAGCTGCTGCTGCTGCTGCTGCGCGCTGCTGCTGCAGCAGCTGCTGCGGTAGCTGCTGCAGCAGAAGGCGAAGCTGCCCAGCAAGCAGCAGCAGCAGCCAGCAGCAGCGTGGCTCGAAAGGGCCTCAGCAGCAACTAAAGGAGACAGCAGCAGCTGTGCTGCTGTTTTTGTAAACCCTGCAATGCAGCAAGCCAAAGGAGACAGTCTCCTTAGGCAGGCATAGGTGCAGACGGGCAGCAGCGCAGCAAGGCCTCCGCTCAGCAGCAGCAGCAGCAGCAGCTGCGCGCCCTGCTGCTGCTGCTGCTGCTGTTTGTGCGCGTATGCAGTCCTTGGCGAGGTGCATGTACACCGCGCCAGCAGCAGAAGCAGCAGCACCCAGAGCAGCAGCACGGGGCTGCAGCGCCTGGCCGTCAGCAGCAGCAACAGCAAGTCCTGCAGCAACAGCAAGAGCTGAGAAAATGCGGCAGCAGCCAACTGCAGCAGCTCTTTCCTGGGCCCTTCGAGCTGTCTCCTTTATCCACTCGAGGGCGCCGGGACCCCCTCTTGCTGCTGCTGCTGCTGCTGCTGCTGCTGCTGGCCGTTCCGCTGCTGCTGCTGCTGCTGCTGCTGCTGCTGAGGGACAGGGGAAGACCCCCAGCAGCTCGAGCAGCAGCGCGACGGGGACTGAAGAGCAGCGGGCAATGTGGTAAGAAGACAAAGAGGAGACACTTAAGCAGCAGTTGCTGCTCCACAGCATCAGCACGTAAGGCACTCCCAGCAGCAGCTGCTGCTTAAAGGAGACACTTAGCGCCGGCCCCCCAAACGACGCCCAGCCAAACCCCTGCTGCTGCTGCTGCTGCTGCTGCTGCTGCTGCTGCTGCTGCTGCTGCTGCTGCTGCAGGTGCAGCAAGTGCTGCTGCTGCGCCGCCGGCTTCGGCCACTGCTGCTGCTGCTGCGGCTGCTGCTGCTGCTGCTGCTGCTGCTGCTGCTTGCTGCGCTGGGGCCTGCTGCAGTAAAGGCCCAGCGCGAGGAGACAGAGACAGAGGATGAGCTGCTGCAGCAGGCAGCAGCTAAGGGGGACTCCTTTTGCTGCTCCTGAAAACAACTCTTTGTTGCAGAGAGACAGCAGCGGGGAAGCAGTAAAGTAAATCAATAAATACAAAAAGGAGACAGTTGTCCCCTTGAGACCTTGGCTGCTGCCTGCGGGGGTTTGGGGGCCCCCCCCCAGGGCCTTCAGGCTCGAGGGGGCCCCCCAGCTGCGCTTGAGGGGGCCCCCCCCTGGGGGGCCCCCAGCTTCTGGGGGCCCCCTATGCGGCGCCTGATGCCGAGAGGGGGGGCCCCCAAAAAGGGAAGAGACAAAGAAAAGGGGGGGGGGCCCCTCGGGACCCAGGAGGGTACAGATAAGAGGGGAGGGGGGGCCCCCCTGGGGGTCTCTTTTGCTGCAGTGATAGCAGCAGGAGAAAGCGGGCTGGCGGCAGCTGAGGGCCGGCCAGAGGCCATGACAGACCGCAGGCCCAAGGCGCAAACCCTAAACCCTAATTTAGGGTTTGCGAAGCTGCAGGACGACGCAGGCGCGAACCCGCTGGAGCCCACGCAAACCCTAAACCCTAAACAAGGGTTCGGAAATAGAAGCGACTAAGGCCGCTCCCTGGCGTCTTCCAGCTGCAGCTGCTCTGCAGCAGGAGGCCCCACTCAGGGTTTAGGGTTTAGGGTTTAGGGTTTAGGGTTTGGCGTTTGAAGAACAAACCGAGGTCACCTTGGCGCGAGAGGCATTCCCGCGCACGGAGAAGAGCGCCCGCCAAGGAAGAAGATTTATGAAAAGAAATAAAATGCAAAAGAACTGCTTCGAGGGTTTAGCGCTGGAGACAGAGCTGGCGAGGGTTTAGGGTTTAGGGTTTAGGGTTTAGGGTTTGGGAGACCCCCCAGGAGTCAGTAGACCGCTTCTGTCGGCGCTGCCGCGCCTGCGCGTCTCCAGCGAGTCCTTTGACCTTTTCTTTCTTTATTTGTTTTTAAAATAAATTAAATGAATTTTATTTTTCAATTTGAGAAGAGAAACAAAGACAGCTGCGGCAGCTGTACGTACACCGCAGCCGCCGGGTCCCGGCGGCCTGGTGCTCAGGTGTATGGACAGGTCACGTGCCTGCCGGGGGCTCCCGGGGGAGCTTTTTGGCGAAATTTGAGACAATTTAATTAATTAAATTATATTATTTCGAAATTTAATTCATTTTAATCCATTAAATCCCCAAAACAGCCGCCAGCAGCAGCAGCCAGGCCCCGCAGGCCGCCCGACGGCCTCCCGCTGCACACACTGTATGTACACCGCGCGCGGTTTAGGGTTTAGGGTTTGCCTCGCTACCGAAGCAGCAAACCCCAAACCCTAAACCCTAAACCCTAAACCGCTGCTGCCCCTCAGCGAAGGCCCCCAGGCCCCGGATCTTCCCAGGGAACGGAAAAGGGGACCCCAAAGCCGCGCTGCTGCAGCTAGCTGCAGCTAGCTAGCAGCAGCTAGCTGCAGCTAAGTGCAGCCTCGCTGCAGCTAGCTGGCTGCAGCTAGCTAGCAGCAGCTAGCTGCAGCTAGCTGCAGCTTTGCTGCAGCTAGCTGGCTGCAGCTAGTTGCAGCAAAGCCACAGGGTCTGGGGTAGCCACAAGTGGCCGCAGCTAGCCACAGCTAGTTAGGCACTCGTACAACTGAACCCTAGACTCTAAACCCTAAACCCTAAACCCTAAACCCTAAACCCTACAAAAGGCCCTTCAGCGCTCTCGGCAAAGGTTTTGAGTCTTCTGCATTAACTTGTCAGCCTCAAATCCTTCAAGGGAGTTGAGCCGAATTCAAATACTAAAAAAGAATAAAACCAGAGTTTCCAAACCCTAAACCCTAAACCCTAAACCCTAAACCCTCAGCGCTTGGACCACTGTCTCTGTTTGCGGGCCTTCATCCTTCCTGGCATCTTGGGCATGCGCTGCCTGGTGTCCTCATAGAGCATCATGGCTGCAGCCACCAAACCCCAAACCCCAAACCCCAAACCCTAAACCCTAAACCCTAAACCCCAAACCCCAAACCCTAAACCCTAAACCCTAAACCCTAGACCCCGAAAGCCCCTACGCTGCGCGCAGACCCCGCCCAGCCCTCTGGAGCTGCGTGGGGGCGCGGGGGGGCGCGCCGCCGCCGCAAACCCTAAACCCTAAATTAGGGTTTACCTTCCTGCAGCGCGGGCCTGCAGTCCTCGCAGGCCGCCGCGAGGGCCCTCGCCACCGCCAGCCTGGCCGCCCCAGCCTGCCCCGAGGGGCCCCCCCCCCCCCCTTGAATGTCCACGTCGAAAAGTCCTGCTGCAGCAGTCAGCAGCAGCGGCTGCAGCACTTCCATGCGGTTGTACGCGTACGGCCAACGCGTGTACACCTCCTCCCGCCCGCACACCCGCACCTGACGCGATCCCACACGATCCCACGCGATCCCACACGATCCCACGCGATCCCAGGCGATCCCACGCGATCCCAGGAGATCCCGCGAGTTCACGGAGGATCCCCACACGATCCCACACGATCCCCACACGATCCCACACGACCCCACACGCTCCCCACACGATCCCACACGACCCCACACGATCCCAGCGCAGCCAACTCGATCCCCCAGCCGACACACACGATCCCCGCAAACGCAACAAGACCCCACACGATCCCGGGATCGACCCCACACGATCCCAGACGATCCCAGACGATCCCAAAGGAGACAGTACCTGCCCCGTGCCCCTCGTCAGCAGCGCCACTGCTGCTGCTCTTTTGCGAGTCCCCTGGCCCATGGCGGAGCAGAGCCACACGCGGCCGCCGTGCTCGAAGGTCTGAAACGCCAGAAAAGGGTTTAGGGTTTGCAAACTAGGGTCTGAGGGTTTAGGGTTTGCAAACTAGGGTTTGAGCGTTTAGGGTTTGCAAACTAGGGTTTGAGCGTTTAGGGTTTGCAAATTGGGGTCTAGGGTTTGCAAATCAGGGTTTAGGGTTTGCAATTTAGGGCTGGAATTGAAAAGGCAGCAGGTGGGGGACTGCAAAGCGAGGGTTTAGGGTTTAGGGTTTAGGGTTTGGGCTGTGGTTTAGTAAGGCGTTTGGGGGTAACAGCTACGAGCGTTAGGGTTTAAGGCTTGGAAAGAGGGTTTAGGGTTTGAGATGAGGGTTTAGGGTCTGCGGACTGGAACGAGGGTTCAGGGTTTGAATCGAGGGTTTAGGGTTTAGGGTTTAGGGTTTGGGCGTGCCTTGCGCTTCTCCGGGTCGAAGCAACTGTGCACGTGAGCCCTCAGCAGCCCATCTGCTGCTGCTGCTGCTGCTGCTGCTGCTGCTGGCTCAGCTGCTGCAGCGCAGCACCGAAAAGAAAGAGACAAAAAAGAGATAAAAAAGAGATAAAAAAGAAACACAATAAGGGACTTGGAGAGGCAAAAGGAGACAAATAAAGAGACACTAAGGAGACAAACAAGGAGAGAAAAAGAGCAGAAGCAGCAGCAGCAGCAAGCAGCAGCAGCAAGCAGCAGCAGCAAGAGACCCCACAAACTCACCGTTTGTCTGTGTCTCTTCGGGACTGTCTCCGGTCTCCAGTGTCTCCCCACTGAGATCGGTGGGATCGTTGGGATCGTTGGGATCGTCCGATCCCAGAGACCTGAAGAAGTTCTCGAGAAGAAACGGAGACGAGTCCTGCGGTGTACGTACACCCAACAGCCAGCTGCAGCCCATGCAGCAGCAGCAGCAGCAGCAGCAGCGCGAGCGGCCTCAGCAGCGCCAACAAGCCCAGAAGCAGCAGCAGCAGCAACACATGCAGCAGCAGCAGCAGCAGCGATACAGGCAGCAGCAGCAGCACCACTACATGCAGCAGCAGCAGCAGCAAGTGCTGCAGGAGCAATAGAGGCAGCAGCAGCAACACGAATGCATGCAGCAGCAGCAGCAGCAAGTGCTGCAGCAGCAAATAGCTGACTGAGGAGAAGGAGGGGGCAGTGAGGACTATCTTCTGCAGCTCCTTGACTGTGAAGCAGCCCCCCTCTTTGGCCAGGTACAAAGCCTTCATCAGCAGCAGCAGCAGCAGCAGCAGCAGCAGCAGCAGCAGCAGCAGCAGCAGCAGCAGCAGCAGCAGCAGCATCACGGAGACAATGGGGACAGCTGCTTGAGGGGACAACTGTGTGGAGACACTCCGGGAAGCAAGAGGGCTAAGGAGACAGCAGCAAACCAGGCTGCCTAACTGTTGCTGCAGCAGCAGCAGCAGCAGCTGTTGCTGCAGCAGCAGCAGAAGCTGTTGCTGCTGCTGCTGCAGCAGCAGCAGCTGTTGCTGCTGCTGCTGCCTCAGTTCTGTTGCTGGCCTCGCCTGTCTCTTCTTTGTGTTTATTTATTTGGATTAATGGAATTAAATTTGAAATGTTTATTTGAAGTTTTATTTATTTGTTTGAAATGAATTTTATTTTATTTCATTTCTTTTTGCTTTTTGTCTTTTTAAAATTCACTGCAGCAAAACACACCTCTGAAAGAGACAGCGGCGGCATATCCTTTCCAGGAGAAGGAATTCGCTGCTGCTGCTGCTGCTGCTGCTGCTGCTGCTGCTGCTGCGGAGTCGCAGGCCCACGGGAGAACCGGCTATGCCGTGCAGCAGCAGCAGCAGCAACTGCTGCTGCTGCTGCTGGCTGCGCAGCAGCTGCTGCTGCTGCTGGCTGCGTTGCTGCTGCTGCTGCTGCTGCTGGATTTGGTGGGTGCCGGCTGAAGCGGGAGAACGTTGCGAGGCCCCGACGACAGAGCGCTTGCTGCTGCTGCAGCAGCAGCCGCTGCTGCTGCTGCTGCTGCAGCAGCAGCTGCTGCTGCTGCAGGAGCTGCTTGGGCGTTACGCATTGCTTCCATTGTTGCAGTTGGCGCAGCAGGTGGCCCCTGTGCAGACTTTGCTGCTGCTGCTGCTGCTGCAGCTGCTGCTGCTGCAGCAGCAGGAACCGTCTGGCCCCGTCTCTGGCGGCAGCAAGGCGCTGCGCGGGGGGCCGCAGCATTTCATGTAAACCCTAAACCCTAAACCCTAAACCCTAAATTAGAACTGCGAAGCACGTAAACCCTAGCCGCAAAAGCAGCAGCGGTGTGGCTGCTATCGCGGGTTTGTTTGGAGTGGGAAGAAGGGCGGCGGCCCCGGTTCGCAGCAGCAGCGTGGGGGGGGGAGTTCTTTAGGGTTTAGGGTTTAGGGTTTAGGGTTTAGGGTTTGTGCGTAGCTGGGGCCTATTTGTGCGGGTAAGTTGTTAGTTTGTTGCGGGGCGGCGCCGCGCAGGCCTCCAGCCCGTGGCGCGCGGGTGGGTGCCGCC